CATTCCGGCAGCTGCTTCTCTTCTCTAACCTGAATCAATATTTTGTATCTTAAATAATTAAATAAATAGTATTTTATCATATTCCATGTAGGTGGTTACCAAACAGTATTAGTTTTTATTAATAGTTGCTGAAATAATTTTCTCTTATTCATGAATTTATTTTACATTTGATTTGGAATGACAAATGCAATGACATGCAGTCATTTTATTGTTTATCAGACTTTCCGATGTTTTGACACAGGAATGTGGGTCATCGTCTGGGATAAAAGTTTAAAAAAGTTTCACCTGAAAAATGAGATATAGACAGAAGTATGTGAATAAGACTCTTAGCAATATAAACACATAAGAATATGCCAAGAAAAGAAGGTACTTGTTAATTATAGTATCACCACTTCGTATAAATTAAATTATTTAAAATAAAATAATGAAAACACACTTGTTTATGTAAATACAATTTTTTTTTTTTTTCATTTCTAACCAAAAATCTTTTATATCTACTAAAATTTGAGAAAATAGATCTTATTCTTGAATTTGAGTGTGCCACATGAATTCTGCTAAATAAGATGTTCAGAAATTCCGATTTGTTCCACTTCTTTTATTTCCCCATTTAGCTGATCTCTCTAATCTTTTGATTTTTCGCATATTCGCTGATGTCTTTGGATCAAAAAAGTAATATTTATGGTTTACAGTTTTATGTTAAGTTTGAATATTAGATTAATTATTATTCTAGAATTGGATACTATGATTAAGAAGTACAAAAAGAAAAAAAAATGTTTGAATAAATAAAATATCAATGGTAAATTAGTATTACCAAAATAAGCATATAGCTCAAAAACATTATGTACAGTGATTATGTTATAAATAAGTATATAAAAATAAATTAACGAAATGGCTAGTAAAATTAAATAAACAAGAAGTACGCAGAAGACAACAAGATTAAGAATGAATGAGGTGAATTTTTGTTAATTTTAAAAAATAATAGAAATATGATATGGTATGATTTAGTGATAAAAAGAATATGACTAAGTATAGAAATAAAAATATAAATAGTAGCTTAACAATTACCAATGGTTATGGGCTAGTCTAACACAATGAATGATGATGACCCACATGCTTGGGTAAAAATGTCGGCAAACCTAATAAACAATAAAATGATAGAATATCCTGATGATTTGTCATTCTTATAATTTTAACAGTTAACTATATATCCATCTTTAAATTTACTTCTCCACAAAGTGTAATTAATAGTTTTAATCAAGCTGGTCAGATCTGATATATCTTAATCAGTTTTTTTTACTCTAAAAACGTACTATTAAAAGGAAATAGACAATAAAGATGATATATGTTCTATATAAACAACAAAGTATATATTGAAAAATATAAAGTATTTTTATTAAAAACTTTTTCAGATGTAACTAAATTCTATTAACTATATTTTAATATTCTGTCGAATTTATGACACATCCCATTCATGGGAAAATTAAATTTTTATGAAACAAAGAAGTGCACATTAAATTTAATGTTGGTATATCCATATGCCATCACAATCTTTACTTAAAAAAAAAAAAAATCTAATGTATACCATGAACCCTAAAGCATCATTTGCTTCATATGGGGTATTAAGTTTCATGGAACACCTAGGTACTTAGGAATAATAATAATGTACAGTTCCAGTAAGTTTGACTAGTTTATTTATTATTATAACAATTAATATAAAGTAATAAAACTATAATGTTAAATTTAATGAAAATTTTTTGTGTTTATCTCTTATTTGCTTTGTAGTATCATATTTAGCTTAAATCTTTTCTTAGATATTAGAAACTTTTTTTTTACCTGATTGGGATAGAGGTAGTAGACCTGATCGAGCTTGCTCTGCACCGAGGTAAGCTCTTGCCCTGAGGCGCAGGCTAAGAGGGCCAACAACGAAGCTAGCACAACGAACCTGAGCATGTTGCCACTATGTGACCCTTTGAGATGCACCCCGCGACAATCTGATAGCGCGGAGAGGAAGGGGGATTATGTAAACTATGATTAGGCTGTCTTTGATAAGTTAGGCCTTATCAATTATCACAGGGTCACTGTTTGTTGATGTTGAAGCTAACAGAGTGGCAAGGCAGGGCTTGATTTATGTTTTCTAAAATTTGTAAATATTTAAAATTCATAAAATGGTAGAATACTTAATAGAATTCCATTTAGAATCCTAATTTGAATTTTTTAAAAATCTGGTGCCTTGCTCGCTTCACATAGATTTCACTCATCACTCTACTGCTAATAATCTTTGCTCATTTCAATATACCAATAGCTTTATTATTGTTGGTTTATTTCAAAAAGTCATTAAATTTTAAATAAGTTGATGGAGCTGATCTTTAAGAACATTTTGTGAATTTCGATTTTATTTATCGATAAAAAAACAAAACAATAAGTGCACTAAAATGACACAAACCCTTTTGTATATCAAATATAATTACATCAATTGCACAATGTTCTAATTTCAGAAAGGGTATATTCATTAAAAGTTTTTAGTGATTTAAGGTTATGAAATGTCACTTAATAACTATTTCCAATAAACCGATGTTATTTACTCCTTAATATATTTATATTTTTTTTTTCTTTTTTTTTTTTACCTTAACCTTGCCAACGCAATTCCTATTGCACCATGAGTATTTACATGGACAGGTAGGTAAAAGTAATATTTTAAGTTTCCATTTCATTCCAATGGAAATCCCATTTAGTTTATGTTAATTAATTACTTAAGTAAAAGTTGTTAACTCCTCTGCTTTACCTTCTATTACTTTAATTGTCAGATATTAATTTTTGTGAAATCTTTGGCTCTCCAATCATATATTATACTATTTTGTTATAAAGTTCTAGCTTTATAGTAAAAGTTTAACTTTTATTTATTTAAATTCCTACAAAAAATGTTGGTTAAAAGTGAAATAAACATTAATTGAACTTAGATTAGAGTTATAATTCATCTTAAATAAATTATCTCATTCTAATGTTTTGCTTGGTTGGGTAACCAAGAAGAAAAATAATTTTTTTATATAGACTTTTGGACGAAATCAACGTAACTTTTAAATAAAAGTTGCAATAGAAAATGTTCTAATTCCGAAATAACTGAAAAAAATTCTAGGTTTTATAATTGAAGGCTTCACTTTCATAGGCAATTTTTTTTATTCAATTTGTCTAATGTTTTGGTTTACCTACTCATTATCAAAGACAATTTAATCCCATAGTTAATATAACATCCATCTCGTTGTTGTACAATGCATGTTAAAAAATTTTTTGTTTGTTTAAAAATAAGTTTAAATTGAAATACATTTTACAATGGATGGATATTTTCCATTGTCTAATACTGAACTTGAATATGAACTATGGAATGTGACAATGGAAAAATATCCATCTCAAACATTTCGAACATTTGACAAATATTTTAAAATGTATTGTAGGACAATCAGATGGGCGAGATTAAATTATCTTTGATGATGAGTTAGCAACCCGAAACATCAGATTAATTGAATAAAAAAAAAATTACCTATGGAAGATATGCTTTTCAAGTATGACATATTATAACTCTTCCTCATAAATTATATATAAATAATTAATATAGAAAAAAAAAATGTAAATAAGGATTATAATCTTATCAAAAATATTTAAAAATAAATGTTAACATTTCATTTCAAGTCTTGTATTATATTATATATCTATATAACTACTGTTATTTCTAGAAATTGGTTTTCAACCTTGAAAAATATTTTTCCTTCATTAATTTATCAATTTTTTTCATTTTTATCCATTTATAATTACTATTAACAATGTGAAATGGTTAATTATTTCAAATAAACAAAATTAATGGTACTTTGGAGGAAGATATTTTGAAAATTTAAGATTTTAGCCCTGTAAGACTATTTCAATGAATAGAAGATCTAGCCGATATTAAAGACAATTTAATTTTACATGGATATCACAAGTTTAATCAAAATCGTTCGAGCTGTTTTCGAAAAAACCATGGGAAAAAAGTGTAATACAGCCATATGAAGTTGCAATTCTGGTAATTCTATATTATCAATAAAATTGCTATTGCATTTTAACCAAACTAGGCTCTTCACACAAATTATTTTGTTAGATTAGTTATTTGGACTCAAACATTAGTTTATAAATTCCTACTAGGAGGGAGAGAGAATCACTTTAGTATCATAAAATAAAATGGTGCTGCCCAATTACATTGGGTTGCTAATAACACAGCATAATTATTAATCACTACAGACACTTTCTAAAATTAATATACAATTATTAGGATTAACATTATGTATGAGCATAGTATGCAATATTATATATATATATATATATATATATATATATATATATATATATATATATATATATATATAAATAACAACAATTATAGGCCGCTGTACAGGCACCATTTCATCAAATTATTAACATCTGCCTAAAATTTCGTGAATGGCTTAATCTCATCATAAAATAAAACTTTTTTATTTACAAAAATTCTTGGAATTAGGGCATTATTCAATCTGGAGATGAGCAAACTTTGTTTATTTAATTAGGTACTAAAAACTCACAAATACCCACCTACCCATTTGCATTCAACTTTAATTGTAATGTAATTTGATTGTAAAATCGAGAAAAAAGGTAATCTTGGAAAAAAAAACTGGATATTTTTAAGATTTTAGTACCTCATTAAGCTAGTTAATTTAATGAGAAAACACCCTATTTCTAAGAATGTTCGTAGATAAAAATTTTGTTGGTTTCAATATGATGAAACCATTCACAAAGTTTTAGGCAAATGTTATTAATTTGATTAAAAGGAATCTGTAGCACAGTCTATTATAACAAGGACTTCTTACCAAAAAGACGTATTGAAATTTACTATAGCAAAGTAATTAGATAAAATTTCATATTCCAATAAAAATATTTTATCCATCATTCTTCATAAGGTTTCTTTACGTGGAAAAATATATAGAGAATGTATTGTATAGGTAATGGCAAGTACAAAGGCTGTGGTGATGCATGGGTTACGGACAAAACTGCCGTCAGTGCTGGAGACAGAAGTGAAACTCCTGCAGCAGCACTGGACCTCCGAGGACTGTCAGAAGAGGATCACCTCGCTAGCTGACAACCCAGATTCTATCTAGCTGTCCATATATTCTTATCACCGCTACATATCATGATTCCGCATTTATGGCATACTTTTTTTCAGTATGTTCCATTTATGTGATTGTTATACACATATATTGTTATGTGTAGTAATCTACTATTATTGATGTTTGCAATATGATATATATATTTTTTTCGTTGTTACATTATTTCTTCATTTTTAATTGAGGGATTAATGAATTGATGATATAACTTAAAGTTTTATTAACTTTTATGAAGATAGTTGTCTTGTTTTTTTTTTTTTTGTTTTTTTGAGAGGAAGGGAGTCGAAATTGAAGAAATACTGAATAAAACATTATTCTCCAAGTTTCATGTATGAACACAATCAATTTATTGTCGGTAACAATATTTTACTCTTGACTTAAACTTATTATTGGAATTAATTTGTTTAAATATGTAAGGAAGAGTTCATAATTAAGTATGATTGGCTATTGTGACTCTGCTCGAACAATAATCTACTCTGCTAGTGGTTATTTTCATATTCTTCTGTACTTAAATATATTTTTCATTTTTTTTTTCTTTTATCAAACAATTTGCAAAAAAAAAAAAAAAGAGCAATAGCTCTTGAAGCTTGTTTATTTTCCGATTAATTAACCACTTTTCAACTTATCGGTTTCCGTATATATTTAAATCACTTGATTTGAGGTTTTGACGGGTGTACTATTTTCTGGGATTAATTGGGTTTGACTTGATTCACTCTCTTTGACTGATGTACAGCCTTCGACAATGTTAAGTCATAAAAAATTGATTTAAGTTATTATTTTTACTTTGATGTATAGTTTTTTTGTTTTGATCTATTTGATCATTGTCAAAATAATTGTAGAAAGTGTTAATTTAATTTATTTCTAAGAAAGTAAAGAAAGCATTTTATTTAAAAAATATTTTATTGAGAATTTATAGTGTTTATTTTTATTAAGAAATATAGTTATGAAATTACATCAGAACTATTTTTCTAGTTATGAATTGCAATCTCCTATTCTGATAATCTAGGAAAAATATATATTTTTTTTAATCATAAAATAATTTTTTATATTTTACATCTACTTTTAATCGTTTATTTTAATGAGCATCTTTTTTTTTTTTTTTTTCCATAATAAGGAATTTTATTTAATTCAATTATTATAATATAATACCGTGAATGGGGCGGTGAAAACTTTTTCTGTTCACCAGGGTCTGTTATCAGTTGTTGAACCTTTCTTTTCTTTAGTTTATTTTACTGATTTTATTTATTCATCTTAATTAAACAGTTTGTAAAATTAATACGAATTAAATTTTTAAGAATACACCCAACACAACTGATTTTAATCATTTCAAAAATAGAAGAAAATTTGTTATCGAGAAAAATGCATATTGAGAATATGATAAAATTTTACATTTTTAAAATTATTTTTGGTTACAAGTTGAAATATTTATTTATTATGTCTGTTGTCCAGTATTTGATTCAAATAAAATTATGTGACAGTTTTAATGTATCAAGTTAGTTTCTTGTTATTAATTATGTTAAGAGTAATTATCTGTTATTTATGAAATGATTATTGAAAATATATGCTTGGCACACCCACGTTGATCATTTGAAACATTATAGTTTAAAATTGAAAATGAATTATTTAATGTTTTTGTTCAAAATATTAATTTCACCAAAAAAAATTAGTCTATTAAAATTATTTTTAATGCTTATCACATTTATAAAATATTACTGATAAATGTTTAGTCATGATTTTATAATCCATAACAGTCTACAGATTTTGTTATTTATGTTTTTTAAAATAATTTTTAAGACAGTTAGGTCTGGGACAAGGTCTGCTTATTCTTGTCAATGATAACTGAGTAGATATATTTTCAAATAACCGCCTTCTTAATATTTAAAAGTTGAATATTAAGGTTAAGGAATTAGGTAAGCAGGTAACTTATATATATATGTTTATATCTACCATCATGGTGACAACCGATTGAGTAGGCTTTGTTTCTGATTAAGGTTATCGGGACAGCTTTTCTTTTTCTTATTTATTTATTTTTTTTAATTTACTCATAATGAAGACCTCAGTTGAGTGACTAAAAATATCTTAACATACCATATCACTGGTACTGCCCTCTGCATTGACTGCTGGCCATTGAGCATTGCTTTGCTGGAATAGAAATAGTTCGCTGGTACCGCTCAGCATTCTACGTAGAACATCATATCCAGACTGCTTCTTTCTGACTGCTCCAGAACCAGTAGAAGCTGTTAGCGACGGTTTCAGGTTATGTTATTAATCCGGGGAAATGTTTTGATAATCAGAGCCACAAAACTATAGCAAATAATTTTTGTAGTAACAAGAGTATTGAATAAAGGATTTCAAATATATCTAAATCCAACTAACATTAAAATAATTCTTAAAATAATATTTCTTCATATTTTTTCTATCATAATTCAAAATATTTCATAATCCATCACTTAGTAGAAGGTGGGGCCGGCTAATTAACATTTAATCTTATTATTCAACTACTATGAGCAGTCTTAAAGAAGCGTTGAGGGATGGCACTCACTGCTATGGGCAGTACCAAGAAAATAGCATCTCAAAAAAAAAAATTAAATCAAAGTATTAATTATATTATTGTTTATATATTACACATTTTCATTTTTTTCCCCATTAACTTTATAAAAGGGGAGTTATATTTTACCATTGTGATATACAATAACCAAATCAGGACTAAAAAAAGTTTATTTTTATTTATACATATTTGTATTAAGTTTTTGTTGTGATAGCCAAGCCTAACCTAAACAATCAAAAGTATACTTATTTTTTTTTTATTTTTCTGATTTAATTGTTATTGTTTAATATGGTTTAGTTCGACTTATTTAACAGCAATAATATGAATAAATTGTTATGTAGGTGTATATTAATGCAGCCAGTTTGAATAATGGTATGAATTAATTAATTAAGAATTACCTTATCTTTGGAATAAGGTTGTTATAGGTCAGTGACCTTATTGGTTAATGAAAATGAATAATTTCATTCATTGAGGCCTAGCAGACTATATTTTTATCAATGAAGAAAGTTTATATTTTTGAATATCTTAATGCAATTTAAGGATAGAGTCTTTTGTTTAAACTTTGAAATAAGAAAGTCATTAATACAGTAAACTTAAATTAATATTTAAATGTAAATTTAATTATCTGTATAATAATAATAATATATTATATTAATAATTTAGAGTATAGTATATTTTTTAAGTTTTTTTTTTTTTAGAATTTATATATATGAATCTGTTCAAAGTTTTATTTTTGGATATGTAATTCTGTTTTCTCTATAGAGATAACTGTTATGTCTATTATTATTTAAAATGTACATAAGCCTATAAATATATTGCGTATATTTATTTATTTTTAATGTTATATGTTTATGTTAGTTATTCTTGTATATAAAATAATGATCTCTTTAATTGTAATTTTTATATATGTATATATACATACATATATGCATATTCCATTTGTTTGGTAACAATGTTGTCTATTAAGGACCAAATTTATAAAGATAATGTTATATATTGAAAATTTTACTGACATTTCGAAACTTTAATAGTTTTTTTTTTAACAGCTTGCGCTGCTCAGTTTTGAAATGAAAATTGTGTTATGTAGATACAAATTTATAAAGTAAATAATATTTTTTAAAAACATGTTGCAAATAGTATTAAAAGAAAGAAAATTTGTTCAAGAACAATATTCTTCAAGAACTTTCTGGTATATTTTAATTCAGAACTGATTACAGTCGACTCTCTATATAACCTTGATCTAGGTAAAATGAAACCTTCAACTGTTCTCAGTTGGTCAGATCCTCTCTGATATCCTCTGTCCACAGGTTTCGAAGTCTTCCATGTCATCATCTCTTCTCTGGGCTGTATTTAAGCATTGTAAAAGGCCAGTATGTATCATTCATTCTCTTCATGTCTTAGTATTAAATCAACCTTTTTTTGAGGATCCCTAATTATTTTTTGTATTAAGAGGAAACAAAAAGTTAAAGAGTAAACAGAGATTAGGACAAGGAATAAGCCTGTATCATGAGGATTCATTGTATTATATATTTTTCACGAGAAATTTGATTCAATAAATGGTAATCTAGAACTTTCACAATGTAATAAATGTCACAACTTTAATAGTTTCATTTCTAGACGGTCCTAGACTTTCAAAGAATTTAAGGAAGTAGAGCTTGATAAAAAATAAATATATTTGTAAAAAATTAATTCAGTCATTTATAAATAATAATTTAAATTAAGGCTTCGTTGAAACTATTAAGCACCATTAAATGTCTAGAATGGTTTACCTTTATTTTCAATTTCTTATTAAGAGTTAAATGACGATTTGTTGACTGTGACATGGATGAAACTTTTCGTAATGCTGAAATGTTTTGATTATACTGAATAAATAGATAGTGGATAAAAGACTTATAAGAATGTTTTAAGTTCCATGCATTATCAATATTGACTATTTCACTTGTGAGAGGTAGAATGTTGAAAAGTCTAGGATTGTCTATATTTTAAACCTCTTGCAGTAATCGTAGCTCAAAATTAAATGAAAAAGTTTTGAATAGTGATTGATTTATATGAAATATAGTAGAAGGTTAATTATCCAAAACATCAGTTTTGGCAAGTAATTATTGATCAAAAATTATTTATATATAAATGATGGTTAACTTCATTAAAAACTAAATAATGAAACAATCAACACTCTACTATATTACTCACCATTCTTTTAACTATAACATTACAAAGACAAAGTAAACAATTTTCCATTTCATAAAGCAATAGATTTTAGGAAATTGTGAATTAACAAACATTTATTTTTTGTTTTTTATCTATAAAAAGTTTTTGTATTCGTTCTTGAACTAATATATATAATTATATTTCTCTCATTGCACTGGATAGATTATATGCACTGTTTTCTATATTTAAAGAATATATTTTGTAATTGTTATAAAGGTGATGAATGAATATAATAGTATCTGTTAATTTTTTCTTTACCTTTTAATGATCATTATTTTAAATTACTCTTATTTTGAATTAATATGACAATAATTCATTTGAAGTATTAATAAAAGTGTTTGCAAAACTGTTTATATATTTTTAGGAGACAATATATGTATGAGTTTGTAAATGTTCTGTGCTATGAAAAACATAATTTATGA